CTGCGCCCAGGGTATAACAGCATTTACACTCAACTTCAACTGCAGTATAAACGCCACCCTCATTGTTTGCCGTGGAAAATTCAATCATTTCACTGTTTTTTCGACGAGATATTTGAATAACGCATGCTTTGCAAGCGGATAATTCATCCCCCCGATTTGATATTCTTTTCTTCCATTAATTTTTATAATCATTCTCATTGCAAAAAGCAATACGACCGATGAGAATCATGTGCCCTAATTTATCAGCTGTTAAATTTTCATATTACAATGAATGATTTGCGAATGTTCTAATTTCTACGCTCACTGAATAAGATTTTAATCATAATTACAATTTAATTCCTTCTAGAACGCACTTGAGAGTGTGAATTTCTGGGATTCAATGTTTGTTGATACTCTGGTGAAAGTGCGTGCCCACACTGTTATCAATTTTTAGTCAGTTCACACGGTAATTCAATTAATCTGTTGTTCATCTCATAAATATAATTCCGTGCTTAGAATATTGTCATCTCGTGTTTTCAGCAACAAATTAAAAATTAAAACTTCATTTGGAATATTGAGTCACAGCTTATTTTTATTCATATCCGAAATTTTGTATTTGGGTATTAATATTATTTGTTCAAAGTGAAAAAATCGATCATCGCTTTCACTATATTGCATTCAGATTCTCCTGTCCTCAACGTCAAAAATGTGAGATAATCTCATAATTCTAGCTATTAATTCTAATCAACTTTGTTCGAAGAAAACCTTAGTAAACGCAATATTAAGAAAGTCGAATTATTCTATTTTCCTCCGACCTAAATGATTTGGACAATTATGATTCGGTTATTCATGTTTCATAGAATGCTATTCAAAAATCAAAATCTGAAATTTTAACGAATATAAACCCTCAAAAATCCTCTGAATTGAATTTTTCGCTGTCGAATATTCCGGTAGTTTCAGCTTCCCTTCGCAAAATCCAGTCCCCAGTCCCAGGAATTCCAAAAATTACTCCAGTGTCATCATGTTTCTAACAACATTATGAGAAGTCGCTAATGAGCCCGGCGGTCAAGTCGCCTCCGAGCGGAATAAGGAAAAAAAGCCTCATATTTATGTGAGAATTTAGAGAGAGCTCCGCGCGTAGTCAGAATTCTGCTAATGATTCCCCTCCCCCTTCGCCCCGCGGGTTGCCTGAGCTGCAATGAAACTTATACTACCAATCGGCACGGACCTGGAAAGTCACGCGAGATTGCCAATCGTTAATCATTCACCGCCTCTGTGTATATCTCTTCCACCTCATCTTGTTCGTTCTCGGCGGGAAAATCCTGGCTCCCAGGGTAGCATCAGAAATTCGGATAAATATACATGCGAGAGAGATGGAGGAATATCATTGGCCCCCCCGAATTATTCAGCGGAATTTTCATATCATAAAATATTGTTATATTAACAAAAATAAAAATAAAACGAAATAAAAATAAAAATAAAAATAAAAAAAAATTATTAGAAATCATTTTCAAAAAAGAAAACTAGAATTTCATCATTATTACTTTAAACAGTTCATGTGAACGTGAAAGTTGAACAACATAAAAAAATAATTGTACAATTACTTTAAATTCTTCAAAATCATTTTTTAAAAAGAAAACAAAAATTTCATCACTTCTTCAATGAAGTTCATCGCAATTTATAAATTACGAAGTATCTTTATTCTACGATGTATTCCAGACATTCTCGGGTTAGAACGCGTTGAGAGATGTGTTTTACCAGGGGTTTAGGGGACTCAGTCGCAGTGACTCCCATTCGGTTTTCTGTACCGACTGAACCATTCTCCCAAGCAAATAAAACAACTTGGACTTTCAGAATGAGTTAAATTCTAAACTAGTGAGCCAAGGGTTATGACAACTTAACAGACCCTTGTTTGTTTGTTGAACCGTCAGGTAACTCCGACAGATCAAACAAAATGAGAAATAAGGCGATTAAGTTTAAAGAGTTTTTAAATATTCCCCAAAAAAACTTAAATATTTGTTCGTCTCTGTAAACTATTTTTGTCAAATGGGCATCTGTCTCCTCCACATGAAAATACGACATTAAACAGTTCATGGGAACGTGAAAGTTGAACAATCAAAAAAAAAAATTGTATAATTATTTTAAATCCCTCAAAATCATTTTTTAAAACGAAAACAAGAATTTCATCACTTCTTCAATGAACTTCATTACAATTTATAAATTGCGAAGTCTCTTTAAAAAGTTTAAAAATATTCTCCAACAAATATTTAAATACTTGTGCCTCTCTGTAAATTATTTTTGTCGAATGGGCATCTGTCCCATTCATCACAACAATTTTTAATTTTATATTATGCGAGCGGAGGGAAAGATGCTTGAATACCTGGCTGAAACGGCAGCAGTATTTCTCTAAGAAACGACAGTCTCCAATCATCACGACTGTCCAGGTGGGCGCCACGCTAATTATACCTGAACCCTGCCTGACACTTTTCATGGCTGACCTTTTTTCTCAACTCAAAACTTTCCAATGCGTTATGCTCATTTAATTTCACGAGTAAATTAACTATTGAAAGAATTTTCTTCAGCGTTAAATCCGGGTGAAAATCGCGTTCTGAAGTTTCGTGAGATTTAGTCATGTCGCTCCTCGGGTGATGGGTCATTCAGCTAGGGTTTATTACTCCTGTTTGGGCGCCTTTTATTCGTGAGTTTTCTTTTTCGAGATGTTAGGAAAATATTGAATGACGTTCGTTGAAGAAATAAAACTCTACTTTTCGCGAAGAAATTTTCATTTCAAAGAATTTAAAGTACTTGTGCGTTTTTTGTGATTTTGTTCAACTTTTACATTCACACGAGCTGTTTAAAATCGTATTTTCGTGATATAAAAATTGGATGTGATTTTTAGAAATGAATGGGGGGCTATGCCCCCCATATGATCCATCAGGTGACCCGGATGATCCTTATTCTGACCCTTGCGACCCTTAATCTGCTCCTCGTGACCCTTATTTTTACCCTTGTGACCCACAATGTTTATAATACAGAGAGATTATCACGAATTATAATTGGGAAATGCATGAATTAGACTTCATTAAAGAAACAAAATCTACTGTTCACTAAAAAAATTTGATATCAAGCAATTTACAGCCCAAATGCAATTTTTTTGTTCACGTTGTTCAACTTTTACGCTCCCACGAACTGTTTAAAATTGTATTTTCATGATATAACAAATACACATGATTTTTAGAAACCATCATCACGAATTTTAATTGGGAAATGCGTGAATTAGGAAGCAAAATCGAGAATAAGATCGTAGAACAGCTCCATTTCCCCAAAGACCCGTCTCTGTGCAGCGAGAAAAACCTACCAGACACGAGAGCCTGCTCTTTTTGCGCTGTCGGTCCCTCTTACATCCGCGAATCCCTTTCAGTCGGACGCGCGCAAACCAAAGAGACCGATTGGTTATACCATGTATTCCATTTACATGCACTCGACCGCATGCTCATTTTATTTCATTCCCCCTCGCTCATCTCGTCCTTTTTCCCGCTTCAATTCATGGGAATTTTTGGCATTCCGCTGTGGAGACTGTCTACTCCAGCAATGATGTAATATTTAATTAATATAATAATGTAATAATTAATTTCGTTGGAAGAATAGTTATTGAATGAGGAGTGGAGTGTCATTTCCACGTGTCAATCGCTCAACATGACTTTACCAAAACATTAATATCCGCTGTCCAAACGATACGATTGGAGTAAATCAGGTCTCATTTCAAAGCTAGTTAAAATAACTTGGGAATGAGCCCTGATTTTCTCAATTTCACTCTCCCAATCCCGAGTTATTCACGATTAAAAACGGTATGTTTCACCCCTGTGTCATTCTGATGATTGATCAACCTTCCTACATACCCCGTAACGCTGGTATTGATTCCGGGGAGATGAAGCCGCATGAATTCTTGATTAGATTGCATCAATAATGCATCAAGATTACCTAACCATCTCCAACAAAATTCTCCAATTTATTTAAGAGCGAGGAAACAGGAAAATAAAGAATAAGGGATTATCGCTTAACATGACTTTACCAAAACATTAATATCCGCTGTCCAAACGATACGATTGGAGTAAATCAGGTCTCATTTCAAAGCTAGTTAAAATAACTTGGGAATGAGCCCTGATTTTCTCAATTTCACTCTCCCAATCCCGAGTTATTCACGATTAAAAACGGTATGTTTCACCCCTGTGTCATTCTGATGATTGATCAACCTTCCTACATACCCCGTAACGCTGGTATTGATTCCGGGGAGATGAAGCCGCATGAATTCTTGATTAGATTGCATCAATAATGCATCAAGATTACCTAACCATCTCCAACAAAATTCTCCAATTTATTTAAGGGCGAGGAAACAGGAAAATAAAGAATAAGGGATTATCGCTTAACATGAGTTTACCAAAACATTGATATCCGCTGTCCAAACGATACGATTGGAGTAAATCAGGTCTCATTTCAAAGCTAGTTAAAATAACTTGGGAATGAGCCCTGATTTTCTCAATTTCACTCTCCCAATCCCGAGTTATTCACGATTAAAAACGGTATGTTTCACCCCTGTGTCATTCTGATGATTGATCAACCTTCCTACATACCCCGTAACGTTGGTATTGATTCCGGGGAGGTGAAGCCGCATGAGTTCTTGATTAGATTGCATCAATAATGCATCAAGATTACACAACCATCTCCAACAAAAATCTCAGATTTATTCAAGAGCATGAAAACAAGAAAATGACAAGAAATTTTTCAAAAAATACGTTTTGTCGTTTTCACTCGTTAATAACTCGACATTGCGTGAGTGAAATTCCTCAATTTTTTTTTCTTTTTGAAAATATTTCTCGTGGCTTTAAAATGAAGTTTAACTCGTAAAAATCGCACCGTTAGATCCAGAGATATTGACGATCGAGTGCATCGACTCCATTTCACTTCATCTCCCATCGCAAGAATCATTGGATTTATGAATGAATTTATGCATTTTGACTCACATGATATCGGATCCTTGGGTATATCACTGGGTGGAAATCCCTGTTCCTCGAAGTAGGGTCTCACCGCGTCGCAGTTGATTCTCCCCTCGGCTCCAGTGCTCGCGAGCCAAAAAAATCCAAGAGACACCCACAAAAACGATATTGCACTCATGACTCTTATTTTTTTTAATCAACAAAAATAATAATTCGGAACTGTGTTTTGGTCACAACAGCACTGACACCCATGCACGATTTTATTTCGTCAACAGTGAGAAATAATTGAGACAATAAACACGAGGAATTAGCGAACTAACCGCGGGGATTAATTGATACCCGAATTAAAACCAACAAACAACACCGGAACGAGGAGGTTGGAGTCCCGGTGCTTCGAAGTGAATCGACCCTCCTTCCACGGTGGAACGAGTCGCACTGAAATGTCCAAACGCTCGGGTGCAGGGGTGACACTGCGCATCCCCCCCAATGACTCCCGCCGCTGGATTTCCAGTTCTCTGCGCACGGCAAGCAAAACCGCCCATATTCAATGACTAATATCTCGGCATTGGCTAAGTGGAATTAAAAAAATTTGGAACCATTTTGAAGACATTGCTTCAAGCTTCAAAATGAAATTTGATTTGCCCAAATCAGATCATTGAGACCGGAGATACTGGAGGTTGAGTAAAATCCCTTTTGTTTCTCCGCTGTTGATCAGTTATACTTGATTAGTTTTTTAATTGTCGATATCTCAGGATTGGCAGAGTGGAATTCGGAGAATTTGACGGCACTTTGAAGGTTTTTATGTGCTTTTTGAAATCAGACCTCATTTTTCCAAATCGGATCGGTTGGTCGGGAGATATTGAAGATTTATTGAGGTGTTTTGGCATTATCAGGAAATAGAGATCTCCATTATCCGCTGTTATGAATGATGATTTTTATTATCGGTCGGTAATAAAGAGTGTTCAACAGATGGTGAATAGGGGAAGCACCGTAATGCGTGAGGATCGGCTGATAAAGACAATTTCCGGCAGAGAAGAAAGTAATGTGGAAACACAGCAGGCTCATATTTTTCAGATTTACTGATAGATAAATATTAATAAAATTTATTATATTAATTTATTTAATTGCTGACAAAAAACGTCACATTCTTTTTTTAAAAGAGAATTAAAGGACCCTTTAGAGGCAGTGGAGGGGGAAGCCCCGTTGTGCATAGATACGCGGTGCGCTCTCTGCGCGACGTTTCGTATAGTCGGAGTCAAACCTTTTCTTGGCCGATACGCTACCGTGCATCTCGATTCATCATACGATAAAAATTCCTCATTTAATAATTTTCGCATATTATGGAAAAACAAGAACAAAAGGACGACTAAATTTACTACCCTAACATCAGTAATTAAAGAATTACCACACTGCACATTTCTTCTCTGGGTTCATTTTAGAGTTTTTTTGAATTTTTCGTGTTGGAAAAGAATAATTTTGTGTGAAAATCGCAAAAAAAACACTTTTCACCCTTCTACTACCCTCAAGCACATTTTCGAGGGGGTTAATTTTTTAGGGATTGAGGGAGTCCTTAGAAACATGCTCCAACAGAAATTGTTTGGTTTTTTGGATATTTTATGTTCAAAAAAATTTTTTTTAAACCTGGGGCCAAGTGTCAGACCTTGGATATTTCCAGAGGGGAAGTCGACTTTCGGCAAAATCGAATTTCTTCGTCAAGTGAATGTTGATTCTTAATTAGTGCGTCGGAATTTTTTTTAATTTACTAATCAATTGAGTAATCCTTAAACGCTGAAAAACGCATTACATTCATCTGCTGACGAATTACAAGTGATTTACCGTCATCATTTATTTATAAATAATAGTTTCCGGCCGACAATTATCGCTCTAGTTCGATTCAGTTTGTAATTCCGCTGAAACGAGAATAATCCCGCCATCTCTCAACTTGCCACTGGACCAGAAGATTCGATTGGTAAGACATTTACAGAGGACATCTGCAATATCGAGCCCTGTTTAACCACCTGATCAGAATGTCGTCGTGTCCATAACCTAAACCAGTATTTCCGTACCCCAATCTGACAGTTTACAATCGCATCTTCAATCTGGGAGGAAAATAAATAATTACCGCAATGTCCCACAGCAGTAAAAATTATCATGACCTGGACATTACGAAGTTGTTCGAGGAGCACACGATCAAGGAGATTGAGCAGATACAGAAGAAGATATTTGTAGAAATAGACTGGAAGAAAGTGGAGCTGAGGACACTCGTGGGGTAAGATTCTCAAATCGTTGATATTGGACGATTGAGTGACGCGATTTGAGCGAATCTGGGCTCGTTTTGAAGAGTTTTTAATCAAGTTTGGAATGAGTGCTGATTTTTTTAATTTCACTCAGCCAATCTCGAGATATTGAGTGTTGAAGATGAAGAGTTTTGGAGGTTGAGGGGAGTGGAATTGAAAGGATTTCGTTCAGTCTTAAAATGTTGACTGGAATATCATTTTGAATGTTTTAAATAGATAATAAATTGATTAATATTTGGAATTTTGTCATAGGAAATTTTAATTACTCATTTTGTATAATAAAATACCAAATACCATTCACTTTTCATTCTAGAAACCTGAATAAACGATTATTATTCACTCAAACTCGAAAAATATATTAAAAATTATATTTCCATTCAATTTTCATTAAATAATCCCCAGCTTTGTCCATCCAACTTCAACGAATCCAATTTCATTTAAAAATATCTAATATAATTATTTTTATTACCTCTGTAATTCGGAGAGGGATATCGAAATGAATATTTGGATTGAGAAAAATACGGTTTGAAATTGTCGATGAAAATGTGAAATCCTCCGAAATAATTTCATTATTTCAAATGAAATTAAGAAAAATTCAATTAAATTCTCATCTTCGTATCTCGATAATAAAAATATAATGCAATAAAGGATAATATAAATATAATATAATACAATAGAATAAGGAATATAATAAAAAATTTGCCATTAAATTTCCCTCATCGTCAGTAAAACGAAACTGAAGATGACTAATTATTTTAATTTCCCCTGTAATCCAGAGAGAGATATCGAGATTTAATCCAAGCAGCAGACACGATAGCGGAGATGAAGAGGACCTCCGAGGAGGTGACCCAGAGGATCGCAGGGATTGAGGATAAATTTCGAGAGCTGCAGCAGAAGTATCTAATCGGTTTCAAACTAGATCCACCGGAGGAACCCATCAGCAGACTGAAGACCGACGTCTCAGACTCGGTCGTTGTACAGATCAAGATCCTGATGGACATCCCCGAGCACATCTGGTCGGCGATTGATGACAGGGATATCCTCAGAGCCAGTCAATTATTCATCCTAGGACAGCACATCAATTACAGTCTGATTTTCGAAATTGGACAGTCTGTTCTCAACGAGAGGTATCCACTTGTGGCGAAACAATGGTGCATTATTAATAATTTTAGGAGTGTTATCTCTGGCGAGTGTTACAAGACACTTCAGTCGCTGGATTTAACTCCTGAGGTGAGTGAATTTCACGAGAATTCGACGTTTCAATTAAATATTTCGACTGTAACATTTTTAACATTTTCGATAATTTTCTTTTACTATTATTCAAGTAGATTTGTCATTTATTTTTGAGTAATTTTTCCATTCATTTAAATTGAAGTATTCGATTTAAAAAAATTTAGAAGGAAATTACTATAATTTTTATCAATTTTCTTTGATTATTGTGCAAGAAAATTTATTCTGCATTTTTTAATAGTTTTTTTTCTGCTAGTCAAGAATTTTTCTACTTTTGGTTCTCTATTTCAGACAGCTGCCAACTGCCTGTCCTCCCTGGTCCTCATGGAGAAGACAAGCTCAAAGGATCTTATCCAAAAATTCATCCAATTCAGGAGCAATGCTGTGGAGTCAATAATCAAGGACGAGAGCCCGCACAGTGTCAGGCACAGGATAAAAATATGTGTCAAACTTCTGATGGATACAGTTGCCCTCATCCACTCCTGTTTTATAAGTATGCATAAAAAACAATTAAATCAGTGATTTTTTTCTCAGAAAATTGCTTTCATTCAATTAATAAATTCACTCGATCAATTGCATTTCACTAGATGCAGTTGAATGTTGAATGAATGTCAATTCAGGAATACAAATCTAAAAACAAATGATGAGAACTGGGTGAAATGCCATTTTGAGGCATTCACTTGACATGAAATAGTGTAAATAAATTTTTATTCAGTAGAATTTCACTTTTTCTGGCGCAAAAAATGGCAAATTTCGGATTTAACGAATACAATGTTCCCATTTGAAAATCTTTTGCCTTTCAGAATCTGCTTCCCATGATCATGCATTTGCATTTTACTAGATGCAGTTGAATGTTGAATGAATGTCAATTCAGGAATACAAATCTAAAAACAAATAATGAGAACTGGGTGAAATGCCATTTTGAGGCATTCACTTGACATGAAATAGTGTAAATAAATTTTTATTCAGTAGAATTTCACTTTTTCTGGCGCAAAAATGGCAAATTTCGGATTTAACGAATACAATGTTCCCATTTGAAAATCTTTTGCCTTTCAGAATCTGCTTCCCACGATCATGGCCTCATCTCCCACCACATAAAATCGATTTCCGACCAGGAAGCCTCCGCCATGCTCTCCCAACTGGACCTAAGCCCCCAGCTCCTGGAGAAATACCTCCCCTCAGTGACGAAAAACCACAAGCCCTTCGCGAAAGGTGAATTCCTCGAGGTTTCCCCCTCGGATCTAACGAAAAAACTCCAGGACTGGTTCTCGTGGGTTCGAAAGTTCACCTCTGTCTCGATAAAGAGCCTTCTGAATCTCGTCACCTCGGTCCGAGGGATCTTCAACATTCGGGAGGAGTCGATATCCCTCGAGCTCCCCGAGAACTGGACGAATATCTGGAAGGACCTGTCGACACCGCCCATCAACTTTTGGACGGAATTCTTCCACCCATTGCTCACTGATCGCGTCAAGGAGATCATAAAAATCCGGTCGGAGGAGGCCTTGAGTGAGCTGAAGACCAGCGTCACAGAGTTTCTCGCGAAACTGCCAAACGAGAAGTTTAGCTTTCCAGAGGACGATCTCAGGTAAATAGATGTGCATTTTTTGCGCAATTTTCTTATAAGCGATCAATCGAATTTCATGATTTTTCTCATGAATATAGGCTTTAATAAGCTCTATTCATTGACAGCAATTGAAATTAAATTTTAACCCTTCCTGAACCTAATTTTTTTAAGCGTAAAATCGATTTCTGGTAAAATTCTGAATGTAAATAAATTTGTTACGATTCCGAACAAATGATTTTCATAGTGGAAAATTGTTTACAAATTATTTATAGAAAATGCTCGTAATTGTCAAAAATTGCACTGTTTAAATTATTTTATCAATCATCTACCTTTACATCTCTCTCTGACAGCTCCAAGTGAACTTGACATTTTAACACTAGTCAAGTGATTGTGCAATCTCTTAAAATCATTCTGTCCTTTATTCCAGAATAAATTATGCACCTGAAGAGGAATGCCTTGAGCATTCGAAACGTAGTGCAATTAAATTAGTAAATTTGTAACGAATTAATGCTGCTGACCTGAATATGGCCTAAATGAATTTCACAATAGCCAAACTTGAATATCTTTAAGTCCAAAAATTTCCATAAACTTGCGAATCCTCCAGAAGCTCGTGTATCTTAATTAATCAGTCCACTGATTGACATTTCGATCCTAGATGGTTCATCTGGAAGGACTCCCCGCTGGACATTCCCCAGAAGCTCTCGAAAACCGGTTCGATAGACGTGAAGCGCTCCCTCCTGATGAAGGCGAGGGGCTACTCCTCGAACCTGGTGACCCTCTGCGAGAACCTCGACCAGAGCCTCCACAATCTCCTCTCAGACCTAGAGCAGTACCTCTACGAATCAGAGAGAGTCACCTCGGCCCCCTCAGACCTCTTAACAATGACGCTGTCCTCAGTATTCGATAAATTTTGGGACAGAACAGCCATCCAAGAGCACCTCCAGCACACCAGTGCAGTGATGACTGAAAAAATAATAGAGTTCATAAGATTCGATTGCACAAACGAAACTCCAAAAACCGGAAAGAGGGAGATCAACGCCATTGTCATGGCGAGATTCCTCCAGGCCGTAACAGCCATCTGTCCCAATTTGAATAAATGCTTCACCCTGTCTAAAATATCTGGACTGACAATCACGAATGTCAAGTGGCAGAATGTGTGCGACAAATTGAGGGAGGAGACGATGAACATCTGGCTGATCTGGGTGAACTGCTACAGGGAGAGGCTCAAGGATCACTCGAAGAGATTCTTGACTTCGGAACCTGTTGATGGACTGAGGATCAGGATGATTGTCTCTGAGTGGGAGAGGGTCACTATTGAGGAGGAGGGGGAGGAGGGGAAGAGGATTAAGTCCGAGATTCTGGTGCCTTATCAGCCGTCGGTTTCCCTGCAGAAGTTCCTGGCTGCTGTCACCAAGGATTTGAATAAGGTGGGGAGTATTTCCTTCTTGATTGTTGAATAATTTAATTTTGGGGCTTATCTTTGGGCTTGGGGTGGGAAGATTTGGAGCAATAAATGTGAAGGGAATTTATGGGTAAATTGAATGAATGTAAAATTGGTTTTGTGATTTTTGAGAGTCTAAAGATGAGAATTTCGAAGATATCTTTGGATATCATGCTTCAATTTGATTCAATTGTAGCTGAAAATATTTGTTTCAACGGTTTCTTCAAGTGCCCTTGAAATTCATTCAATTATGCATGAAAAAAGTTTTTCTAATACTATTTTGCCGCACTTAGAAGAACAAAATAAATCATACGCAATAAATAAATTAACAAAATGAATGACAAAATGCATTATATGAGAAAATAAATTAACAAAATAATTTATATTGATTTAGAAGTCTAAAGTATTTCGGAATCAATAAAAATTCTGGATGATAGACCATCTTTTATAGTTTGAATAAGCGGATGTCAATTTATGAAATCGACGTTTATAATTTGATGACTGTAGTTGGACAGTTCAGCACTGATTTTGTGGTGAAATGATTTTTCTGTCACAGGTAATTCCTCATACGATCCCCAAGAAGGTGGTGAACGAGTTCAGTTGCAATGTCGTGGGGGAGGTGTTTGGGTACTACGAGGGGGTCCTCAGAGGGGACTTGAGGCAGAAACAGGCGTTTCAGGTACTTCTGGATGTCAAGTACGTCACGATGCTGCTGGTTCCCAGGGAGAATAAGGATAATGTGGACAGGTCGCAGGAGATCTGCAATGGCATCCTGGGGAGGATCGACCCCTTCGATTCCGACGTTTTTTATCCGTTTATTCATGTCAATGTTAAGAAGAGTGTGCAGAGGACTTTGGTGAGTTTGTTAATGAAGTTGAATGGGACTTACTGGATATTTTTTTTGAGAATGACGACATGATGCAGATTTTTTACAAATTATTTTTAAAAAATTTGAATTTTGAATTTTTAAAAATTCGAAAATGCAATTTTTTTTTCAAGTGCTCGCTAATGACTCGATGGAATCAAAGCATTTCAAGAGCCTTATCTATATCCAGGTATAATTTAAAAATTAGGTTGAACAAAAATTAAGAATTCCCTTAAATTTTTTAAAATTCTTGAAGGAATTCACAATTTTTTTCTTTATATTTCTTTTCTTTCATATTTTACAATTTTTCATCATGAAAATAATTTCATGGAAAATCCCAATTGTTAATTTGCACTAAACAAATCCTTTTAATTCACCTTATTCAGCTCAACATTCCAGACTATAGATTCCCGAATAATTTCACTCAATCAGAGACAACATTTGTTTAATCTTCCAGCTAATATTTGGAAATCTAGTGCCCCACTTGGAGCAATTGCATTCAGTCCTCGGTGCACGTGGAGAACTAGTTGACACTGGCAAATCGATGTCAGATCCTCCCGGAGTGCTGGCAGTTTGCACTGGTTCTCCATGGTTTCCACCACTGGCAGTCACAGTGCCTCCCAGAAATTTGCCACTGATTCCCGTGGCTATTCCAGATAAAACACAGGTATCGTAAACATTTCTCGTATTCTGTCAGTCTAATTTTTTAGATGTAGGACGAATCTCAGGTTTACTATCGTCGTTTCTATATTTAGTCGCACATTATGTTCTTACCATACGTTGTGTATCTTTAGATTGGCGTTTGCTTGAGGTAAGCAGGTAATGACGGGTTGTTGTTTCGTTTTTCGTTGGTTATTACCAGGATTTTTTCATTCTTGGGATTTTTCTTTGAGGAATTAATGTTTTGTGTACTAATTGTTTTATTTTTTTGATAGAACTGGGTACTATTTTAGGAAAATTGAGGGGAATACTGAATAATGTCTATTTATTCGTGTTTTTTAATGGAGAAACAAGACTTCAACTGTGAATAAGAATTTTATTTTATCGCAATTTTTTGAGTGATCGTTGAAAAATCGATTTTTGAAAAAACGTTAATTTTTCCGAATCTGTATAAAAAATTGAATTTTAATTCGTGTCAATGTATAGAGCTTATTAATTCGATTAAACCCTTTTAAGAGACGTTCTAAAAAAATCCGGATGCAAAAATAAACTGATACTCGAGTATTTCAATCAACATAAAATGAAAAAAAAATTGTGCCCAGCTCTATTTACCGCATGTAAAATTGATTTTATCCCCCAGAATGTGCCACTATTAACTGTCCTATTTTTCATGTGTTCAACTGTTCTCTCACGCTGTGTTAAATTTAATTCGTCGACATAAACGTCCACTGCATCTCTGTGTTTTCTCTGCCCAGCGAAAAAAAGCACCAGTAAAGGAACACGTGAGAAACGACTTGACTGGCTCGACAATTAAATCTGGTGCAGCTGCCTTCTTCGGAGCCATGGGAACTGACTGGTTCGGCTCAAATTAATCTGTCGACCGTTGTTATCCAATTTTTATATTTTATTATGATTGTAAATAAATACAGAGTCATTATGGTTAGTTTAATTGATTCATTGGAAGTGGGTGGACAAGTCGAATATGCTGAGGGGACAGTCGCAGTAGTCGAGACAGTTGGGAAGATTCTCTGCTTGGATTATCTCTGAGGGTAAGTCCTCGGTTCTGGAGGATGATGGGCTGCGATGGAAAAGGTATTTCAATTTTTATAATTATCATTAATAATTAACTTTAGCAATATTAAAAAAATATTTATGGAAAACGTTAGTGTTTATTGAGAGATGTGACTAGTAAAGAAATCAGTAATTTAAATTATTAAATTGGAAACTGAAGGAGTATTTTTTAATAAAATATCTTTTAATTTTCTTTAAGTGATTGCTGATTACTAAAGGCGTGAAAATCATTTGTGGAATTAATTACTTAATTTTGAATCTAACAATTTGATCGTAATTTAATATTATGAGTCTGGCTATCCCTGATGGAAATTCTTAAAATTTAATTTTTTTGGAATTTCCAAACACTTGTGATTTCCACACACCCTCAAATGATTTTCGATCAATTCATTTGATTGGGAAAACTCAATTATGAGAGAGAATGTGGAGTATTCCTCCTGTCAAAGGAGGGTAATTAATTATCGTGAGGCTTCAGTGTTGGGAAACCGTTAGAACCTCTGAGTTCCCCTGAGGAGGGGAATCCCCATGAAACTAATTATTCTTCGAGAAATAGGTCTCGATATGTCAGACCTAAATTGAATATTTTGGGTGTGTGATTTTGAGAAAGAGCCCAGTTAATGACGTAAACAAGTTACTCTTACGTGAGAAATATGTGAAGAATATCGCCGACTAGACCGTTTTCCAGCAGAAATCCATTGGAAGCTTCACAAACAGCTCGCAGCAAGCAGCTCCTGCCTGGATATCCAGCGCTGGAAGTCATTAGTTGTAAGAATTACACAAAAATCCGTGAATTATCCGCATTCATATCCATTTTATTTTCAAGCCAAGTCTCTCTGAAGGCTTATCACATAAATTGGTGTTATAATAAAACACAAATTCCGAGAGATTGAATTTTAGCAATTAAAATACTTGCATTCGGAATGAAAAATCAAAAAATGAAGTCACCTCTCCAATTTATTCTGGACGAATTCATACGCCATTCTCCTGTTCAAACCCCGTCCCCTGAAATACTCTTCATAATCAAAATAAGTGGAATTTTTATCATTCGGGAGGATGTAGTTAGCTTCGAAGTAAAACGCCAGAGAGACGGATTTGTCAGGGATGTCCAGTGGAATTCCAACAGCGAAAAATATCTGAAACGACGGAAAATGCAATAGAATGCGCTAGATATATTATTTTGTAAAAAAAACAAAAATGAATAGAACAGATTTTTTATACAATTTATTCCGTCAATATTATTGCAATAACATTTCAGATTTTCCGTTTTTCCAGGGGAAAAGTCGACTTTCGCCAAAATCGAATTTTTTAGCCGGGTGAACGTTGATTCCAACTATTTAAGCGCCAGGCTTATCAGAACTGTCAAAAGTATGTGGAAAAACTGAAAACTGAGAAACCGTTTTTTTTGGCCCCAGCCGAAGAGTCAGATTTTCGGGTTTTCCGGGGGAAGTGGATTTTCGCCAAAATCGAATTTTTTAGCCGGGTGAACGTTGATTCCAACTATTTAAGCGACGGGCTATTCAGAACTCTCAAAAGTATGTGGAAAAAGTGAAAACTGAAAAAGTTTTTTTTTTCCGATTTTCAAAGGGTCAGATTTTCCGTTTTTCCAGGGGGGAAGTCGACTTTCGCCAAAATCGAACTTTTTAGCCGGGTGAACGGATATGAATGTTTTTTTGGGCTCAAATGAAAGCGCGGCCGGAGAAATGACGTGCTAGAGCCTCTAAACATGACAAATGTCTCTAAAGATGATATCTGTTTTCAATTGAAAAGCAGATTTTTGAAAATTGATTTTTCTCGCGATTATTTTCACACCCGACAACCCTGATCCGTAATTCAATACCCAGTGCTACTGAGACGGACCACAAAAATAATGTCACTTATTAGTCAATCAAGAATGATTGATGGGTTGTTACCCCCATTCCTGAGCCCTGGGGAAATCCAACGGAACGTATTAGCCTTGTTGCAGCAGAAGTTGCGTTCTTCGTCCTTGACCCACAGCACACACATATCAATAACACAAATGGGCAAACTTCAATCCACCTGTAAAGTAAAAAATAACAAATTGCTGTTTTCAAACACTATAAATTCTGGGGGGGATGAAAGCTATGGCTTTAGTTTTTTTATGAATCAATTAACAGAGCAATAAAACTACGAAGCAGTAAATCTTCAATTTCCCGAGAGTGATTTGAAATTTAATGCTCTTCGAAATAGTTGCTTGGTATTCAGTTATTACTCAGCGTAGATTTCTTTAGCTTAAGAATTATAGTTCTAGGATTGATGTGAAATTGTGTCAAGAACTTTCGCAATTGGATTTTTCAAAAATACTATGTCCCGGGAAAAAAATGGAAGTGCGATTGTAAATAGTTGTTGACAAAGTAAAATGAAAATGACTTCAAATCGAATGTCTCCCATTCAAAATTAAAAATATTCATCAAGTTGAATAATAATATTTATTTTAATTCCTTAATGCACTATTAAAATCCATAAATTTATAAGCAAAATGAGTATTGAACAAAAATGAATGGAATAATTAAATACTAAATAAAGTTGAAATTAAATTTAACATTCCCTCGAATATGCTAATCCGTTTCCCCTAAAATCCATCAGCCCCAATCCCCAAAAATCCAATGTCTTAGTTATACCCCCAGATCCTCTCAGTACTCACCCCCTCATTATACCCGATCAGACACAAGGTAACTGAGAACAAAGCCGAAAGAGTCGTTAGCGGTTGCCCGGAACGCCTCGAGATAATTAAGAAGATCGTCCGTGTTTGGCTTATAATTAAGCTAATAAGACGTGGTGCATCACAAACGCCCGGGGTTGAACGAACCCGTTCGTCTCGAAACAGATCCGCGCTATAAAATCCAACGTCTGAGGTTCACGATTCTACTGATTCCTTATCTATCGTCGACGGTCCCTGCCGTGTCTACTCATGCTCAAATACCACAAAGACCATTATTCAGCCATTTCTTTTTTTATTATCCGAAATGGAAATTCACCCATTCAACGGAGCCCGCACATATTTTATTCGTTACGTAATACTTCGATTGTTTCGTTTTACGTCGTCGATGGTAATTCGGATTTACGAATTTTCGAGTGGGCAATTGTGTTTTCGAAAAGAGAGTTGAGGTAGAGTTGCTGTCAACTGCAGAACTCGTCCTTATGATTTATGTATTAATGTTTTTTCTGCGAATTATGTGCTTTTGCACTATTCCATCAGGTGATAGGTTGACTAGGTGTTGATTGCGTCAAGGTAGAAAATCAATTTAAAAAATATTTTTAAAAAATAAGTAAGAATATCGAGTTTGAAGAAGCTGAAAGTCATGACAATTTAATCAACGTCGTGATTTATTGTCCAGTATCCTTCGATCTTCCATCTAATGAGTAACGTCGTGATGAACGTATTTATTGAAATAAAAAACTACTGAAATGAAGAGAAAACTTGAAGTATGGCTTAAAAAATTTGTTCCTTCCCCAGGATCTGGATGAAACAAGTTGAAGATGACTTGAAGAGGATGAATAATTTTAAAAAATGTTCAAAAATGCGAGGTGGTCGGCGGCGTGGTCGCCGCCATCTTGTTTGGGTACCCCCTCCTCTGCCCGGAGGTGCTTCGAAGATGGCGATGCCTCCACCTCGAATTTCAAACATTTCTTAAAGTAATTCATTTAACTATTCAGGCTAATTTACTCATTATCCTCACAATATTTTTTTTTATTCTCATTTTTCATTATTTTATTTTTTTTCTCCCTTGAGGAAAAAAATTGTAGTGGTAAGGGAAGCGCAGATAAGACGAATTTTTCAGGAAATAAACTCGATGGTCTTCTGTTTGTGAGTATTTCCATGATCCTCCCGTCGTTTCTGGGAGTTTTATGAGGGACGATAGAATTTCATGATCCAATTGTAACGATTTTTTCGGCGACCTGGAAGATGCTATTGGGTTATTTATACGTATCGCATCCCTCATGGAGGGCGATAAAAAAATTAATCTGGAGTTCTTCGTGGGGAGGGGGGAGGGGCTGGCTGATCAACCATTGGTGTGACATTTCCCTTTCTTGATTAAGTTTTTTTTAGGATGAGGGAGTGTATTTCATTCCATCTCAGGGAGAGGATATTACGATTTTCAGATCGAGTGATGAAAGCAGTGAAAAAAAAATGTTACGAATGGAATGACATTACTATAGAATTTTTCTTTTTTAGATTTTATGTCTTTTATGACAAATGCCATGATAATTCATCATATCATATATCGTAATGTCAGAACATGATTTTTTTTCGTTTCCCATTCGAGCTATTAATGAATCCCTCGGGACATTAATTCATGAGTCTAGAAGATAAATGGTGAATCAAGAAATTAATGAATTGAGTACGAAAAAAGTTCCACGAAAAAAACAATAAAATCAGTAGAATTTTCTATAGAAAATATCTCAATAAAATAAGTTACGAAGAAAGATCGAATTCTATTGATTTTTCAAGAGAAAATTTTATATTGCAAATTTCCACAAAAAAATGCAGAGAAACTGCGAAATTTCTCGCTGTAATCAGAAACGAATAGAAATTTCAACAGTAATTCAATCGAATTTTCTACCGAATTCGCTAGGTTTTTTCTATTATTTCCTCGTACATTCGAGAAAAATAAATGGTTCAATTCCATGGATTCATTAGCGAACAATTGAAAAGAAACAAAGCTCCCATTGGGAACCAAAAATCATCGTTCTCCGCCCGCTCAGCGCCCCGATGTCATTCACCGAAGAAATGACCAGACAACACGAGCATCTCAATCATCCTCAGAAATCCGACCTCCCGCTCCTCCCTCAGCACGAACCCTCCCCCCCATAATCCCAATTCCCCCGAATTCAATAGAGCTCCCCAACAACGCCCTAGCCCCCCAAAAACTCCATTCGGTGTTATTAAATTCCCGCCTCACCATAGAATTTTTCCTCACCACTTCTAGCTATTGATCGCGCTGCGTTCTTCCGAAACGATACAAGGAGAGATGTGGGCTGAAATAGACAAAAGGACAAAGACAGGAGATAAAAAACGAAACGAGGAAAAAAAGCCCACATCGGGATGCTTTTGCAGTGTCCATACAGGTCACGTAGATTTGCCGTTATTTACCCTGGGCTCTTTTCCTTTTAGCCCCCACAGCGCCAATACAGTCTACGATTAAACGAGCCCCGCAGTTCTGTAGCACAACCTGATCCCAATTGAACTCCTTTGCTCCTCTCCACCCGCCCACCCCCGACACCTTTTCTCACCGAAGACTTCTTTTTAGTTTCAAAAACAAAAGTTCGTTACAGGGCTTTTTTTTCGTGAAATATCGCTGCTACGCCATTGGAAATTGGCGACACTGAGGAGGACACCGGATGACACCGTTTTGGGTACCCGAGGCAGTCCACTTGGAGGATAATAAAGAAAGCGGGAAGAATCACAAGGAGTGACACTTGTCGATAATGGTCGATTAAAAGTGAGGGCAGGCTGGGGGTGCTTACCGATCCCCGGTTGAACACGTCTCGGGGCGTTTTACCGGTGGAACATGTGCCGGGAGGGGTGGAGGCTTCTTCCATGCAAATTGACACGGTGCTTGGGAGTAAATCGGCTGGCAAATGAGGCTTGATCAGTGCCAAATTTTTTTTGGGAACGGCCGCTGTCTCACGTCATTCTGATCGAATCAATGAGAAAATCGTGGGGGGAGATCGAATTCAATTTTTTTGGTTAACGGGTGAAATAACACATCAATTTCAACACAGATTTAACATATGCAAATTTAACACGTGTGTGTCTTTGTTTAATTCGAATTTGTTATCAATTTATTTAATTTATCGATTTATTGATTTACATTTTCTTATTTATTGATGTAATTCACTGTATTATTGTTCATATTTTTTTGATTTTTCATTAAATGAATTCTTATGCTAAAAGTAAATATTTATTGATTTCCAAGATTGCATTGATAATTGTGTTGTCAGGGTGAAAAATGGTTTTTTAATTCCATTTTGATGACAATTTTTTTAATGACCATTGAAAAATCGGTTTGTCGAAAAATATATTTTTTTTAAATTTAAAATTTAAATGAAAAAAAATCAAATTTAATTGGTGTAAATGACTAGAGCTTGTTAAAGTCTATACCCATGAAAAAAATCATGAAATTCGATTGATTCCTCACAAAAAAATGTCACCATCTAAAAATCGCATATTCGTACTTTGAGGCCACATTTAGTCACCCCACCTCAAAAAATTGGAAATTCAAATTTGAGCGGTTACAAAGCATCCCTTGGAGAGCAAAAAATAAAATCTACGTCGTCTGCATCATCAAGAATGAGAATTCTCCCCACAAGGAACTGTAAAACCCCTCGTCCCGCATAACGACACCCGATACATTCCCTTCCAGTCCCAAGCGTCACCTCCCCGAAATGACCTTCGTCAGCTTCACCCTCACAGTCTCCCCTTCCCCCCAAAAATGACCCTAATATACAGCTCTCCCGCCGATTACCTCTCTCAAGACACCCCCGAGACGCATCCAACAATCGATGAATCGACAAGCCCCCCCGAGATTCCCCGAATAACGATCAGAACCCGGGGAATCCCACGATCGTCACGCGCTCAGGTGCGCGGCGCTAGTTGTACATTCTCCAGCCAATCAGACACAACCACAGACGCCCGAGTCAGTTGGTGCCAATACATCCGCCGAAAAAAAATCACATTCGTTTCATCATGTCAATCACAATTACCGAACACATTCAAGCCTTTGAACAAAGGACACCTCAGCCCAATAATGCAATAGAACTCACGGCTCATCCCGCCAGCTGTAGTAATTGGAAATTTCCGTTACAATGTTTCGCGATTCAATCCTGTACACGACAACCAATGTATACCCGATTGAAAGGTGGGAGAGGTGGTGCGGAGGGAGGCGGGGAGGGGGGTGGTGGTGGTGGTGAGGGCCGTTGGAATTTCAACGCGCAAACGGCACGCGATGGAATCGAATCCCGTGCATTCTCCTCGTGTCGAATTGAACGAAGAGAGAGAGAGAGAGAGAGAGAGAGAGAGAGACAGCGATTCGGGGGCTGAAAATTTATCGTAGGATGCGTTGTGTGGATGGCAACGCTGTTCGGTCATCTCTCACTTCGCCGCGAGCTTCTGAACGATAGTGTGAGGGAGACGGAGGAGTGGGAAGAGATGGGATGCGGTGAGTTAACTCTCCAGTAAAGCGCGTTAATTCGATTCAAACGCGAGCGACGTAGCTCCCGTTTATTTCCCTCTGAATTATTAATGCTGAGGTACTCTCATAATACGGGTGTTCAATGCTCATTGGTCGACGGAGGGGGAGGAGTTCATTAATGGTATTTTTTTTTATATTTGAATGCAGTTGTTTTTATTGACTTGTGGAATGGGGGAATGGGGTGAGCCTTGGATTTTAAGGGAATCGATTTTTTTGGCCGCGGAAATGAGAAGAGAAATTTTTGATATGTAGCTTTACGTCTGTTGTTTAGAGATATGCGATGATATTTGCGCGGTTATGGCATGTGCATTGACAACGTTACAGCCGTCTCCACATTTTCACGAGTTGTAACTGAGAATTGAATGATGAAGGTAAAAAGTTGTTCTTTAGTCGTAAAATTCATGGCACTCGCTGGGTTTTGCGAGCTGGACGTGTGTATGCCGTCGTAAAACGAATATTCGTGTTACTTTGTGAGTTTTATTCATTTACACGGGGCAGGAAGTATTATTTTTATACATTCTATAACAAATTGTGACTCGTGTTTTTAAGTGGTCGTGAATCATTTTTTTATCGAGGGGCGTTTAACTGATGCGTTGAGCTGAATTTTAGGGTTGAACTTTATTGATTTTAAAATTATCGAATTGAGATGTATTATCAGGAAATAATTTTCATTAGGTACCGTCTTGAATTTAAAATCAGGTATGGAGTCTCGTTTCGATGTCAATTTAATTCAATTATGTTCAAGAATAAATTCTGGTTCAGGTACGACATATGTTTCAAGCATAAATTCAGGTTTAGACATTAGCTCAGGTTCAGGGATAAATTTAAATTCTCACGTAAATTCAGATTCGGAATAAAATTTACAGACAGGTATATATTTAGACTTGAGCATTAATTTAGGTTCAGGTGTAAATTTGTGTGTATAAAATAAATTCAAGTTTGGATATCAGCCCAGGTTCATAAATAAAGTTACGTTCATCCACAAATTTATGTTCAAGAATAAATTCAGGTGCGGGTACACATGCAGTTTCAGGCATAAATTCAGGTTTCACCATCCATTCGGGTCCAGGTGTGAATTTAACTTCACGCGTAAATTTTGATTTGGAAATCAGCTCAGGTTCATAAATGACTGAGGTTCAGTAACAAATTTATGTCAAAAACAAATTCAGGTGCATGAATAGATTAAGGTTCAGGCATAGAGATGCCCACGCTCTCATGCTCTGGCACAAAATCAGGCACATGCCTGAATTCGGGTGCCGTGGTCTTTAATTCGGGTCTGTGCCTAAAATCAGGCATTCAGATGACTTCTAATGCATCTGTGAATTTATACTAATAGCTGAATTCAGGCATATCTTCCGATTCAAACCTGAATTATCGATTAACATGCATTCTCATCATTCCAAGACGACAAATTACTCCAAGATGACATACGCCCACGAGCCTTTACTCCCCGTAAGAAACCAAATGGAAAAAAAAATCACTCGACACGTTTTATTAACGACTGAGCCCCTCACTCCGTCCAACGATAACGGCTTTTTGCCCCGACGGTGGCAACGACCTGTCGGCCATAGTCCCTCGATCTCACCCGCTCACGTTCTTCCCCCTGACACTCTGATCTTAATTTCTTCTATTTATTTTCCTTACCTTCATTCCACCTTAGCCCGTTCTTTTTATTCTCTCGCTCTCATCGTTTATCCCTCGCGGTGCATCAGCCAAGGACGGCCGGCTGTCAAGTGCAGCACCAGCTCCACTTTGGTTGGCAGCATGAGAATCACTTCCAATAGTATGTGAGTATTAATCGAATTTTTATCTCAGTTTAAAGGTGTTGGAAAAACATTGTAGACAAAAAAAGAAGGGTAAAAAGGGTGGAAAACTGTTGGTAAAAACGTCGAGTTGTAGTCGGGGGTAGGGGGCGTTGCACGTTCTTGACTCTGGGCGTGTGATAAGAAGTTAGTTTTATGTGCAATTTCCTTTCCAGTTATCCGGTTTAAAAAGAGAGAGAGAGAGAGCGAGAGAAAGAGGTCGGTGGGGGATATAGGTGGAGGTGTGCAACCCAGTCCCGTTTGTATGCACACGGTTTTTCATGGGCTTCGTTTTTTAACACTCGCGCTACACCTTTCCTGATATCCCTTGGGGAAAATAGTACGTTGGGTAAAGAAAAGTATATTCGTGTGAATGGAAAAAAAAGAGGAGTGGTTTACATCTAATGGTGGCTGAATTTTTTATGCAAATTATGAATGTGTCAAGAGGCTTTTTTCGGCGGGGAATATTATTTCTGAGGTGAGTAATTCGTTTTATGATTATTATAGTTGTGACGGGGACGGTAATTTGAGAATTCAGTAATTCAGTGGGTTATGCAGTTATTTATTAATTTGTGAACTCATGCAGGTATTTAATAATTTTTCGAATTAAAAGAAAGAGAAAATTATTTTTTTGCTCGGTATGAGTGGAAATTTCTTGAATTGAAAATTGTTTAATTAATCGATTTTGGGAATTCGTCGTGAACTGAGTACTGAAATAATTATGATTCTTAATCAGAAACGAACTGACATATACAATCACATTCTTCCCCTGATAAATTAGGATTAGGAATCAATATTCCGAATCCTAAGAAAACTAGGATTAAAAACACAGTTTCCTAATCCTGAAAACTTGATCTAAGAATTCCAATTCCTAACTCTATGGATAAAAAAAATCCTAATCCTATAAAAACTAGGATTAGTCATGAAAAATCCGAATCCTGAAAATCCTGAAAAATGAGATTAGGAATTGAAATTCCTAACGTAACAGAATCGCAAATAAAAAACAAACTGTCTCATTCAAAAAAGAGGTTTTTATCATGAATTAAAATTCTTAATCCTAAAAGACTAGGATTAGGAATTCCGAACAATTCTAAATGTCCACTACATATCAATGCATTGATTTCCTCAATTCATAACGAGTTAAATAATGAAATGATCAATTTCAAAACATGCGCTATTCAATAAATTAATCATCTCATCAAAATTGCCATCAAATACAACATAATTATGACGCAAATTCAACAAATTCTGGCATTGAAGTTTTAATTACAAACGAGAGAATGTGACAAAAATACAAATGTCACGAATATTAAAAGAATAACCCAGAAACCAGTAATTCCGAATCGTGGTACATGAAGGGTTAACGGGAACAGTGGGAATAAAAACCTCGGCGTGGCCCAGACGGTTTGTTTAAATCAAATGTCGGTATGAACAGTTGAGATATCCCATTCGGCAAAACGACCTACAGAAAATGAGAAACCAACCTGGCAATCTCTTTCCGGGCTCTCGCGTGTGCACGCTAGGCTCGTCTGGTTACAATCGTTCGCCCTATTCCGTAAGTGCCTCTCTCTCCATCTCTATCGGGCAGCAGAAACAATCCGAAAGGGAAGCATAAACCGAGAGGGAGGAATGGAGCGAGAAATTGAAATATCAGATTGGCGGTTTAGTTCGAAAAGAGCGCGTTTCTATAACAGTTTTTTTTTATTTTTTTTTTATTTCAGATGGAAAATATTTGGTTTCATTTTGGTTGCGGTGAGGTCATGTGACGGATTGGAAAATCACATGCCGGGCGCACTCCATCGTCAGTTGAGGGAATTGAAGTATCCGGATGACAGCGAAATGGGTGTTTGTATATTTTATGTGTCAATATGGCAGTTGGGGTTGTTTCAGGAATTTTCAATTAGTGGGTGGGTGCGTTATTAATCGAAATATCTGGAATACTGTCGATAAAATGGGGGGAATTGTGTAGCGAATTGATTGGTTTTTGACTCACATCTCTACGAGCTGTAGTTTTTAAGTTATAAACATTTGTAGATAAATCTGATGTCGCGCTGATTTGATTGAAGGATTAGGATTATGAATTCCTAATCCTGACTATTTGAACTGAGCAGGCAAATTGCTGATCCTAAGAATAAAATGATATAAATTCTCATTGTTAAAATCGTGAACAATGGCATTAGGAATTTGAAGCAATTAGGATTGAAATTCCTAATCCTGGAATTCATATTTTCAATCCCGGATTAGGATTAGGAAGCCGATGTCTGAAAATCATAACAATTTGCATCAAGCAATCAAATTTCTCATTTGAAAGAGAATTGGAAAATTGAATTCTTAATCCTTCAGGAAAAAACTAGGATTAGGAAAAAAAATTGTCCATGATGTGAAAAACAGGAACTCCTGATGCTGACCATTTATGCTGAAAATTCAAGCCACATCCTAGAATACACAAGTTAGGATTGAAATGGCTAATGAAGAACTAGGATTAGGACCCCAAATCCTTAAAATTTGGAGAATTCAAATTTCTCATTCGAAAAAATCAAAATTAAAAAACCGAATTCCTAATCCTGAATTTTCTTGTATCCAAAATATTTCAATCGACAGCGGAGCATTTTTTAAGGAATAAAAAAACGCAATGGTCAGACATATTCTCGAACGATGGATGCGGTCAAGTCGTGAAGAGAATTTGATGAATAAATATAAGAGAATATTCTGAACATCGTTCACTCTCATTGAGACCCCGTAAACGTTTTCATTGTTATTTATTTCTCCCCAGCCTACGCTTTTTCCTTTATCGCATCGCTCTTCAGCCCCTGTTCCTCATTAACATTGGGGTAAGCAACAAGTAAGGGGTTAACTACCCCCTGTGGGCGCGGCAGCCCCCTCTGTATTTTCCTCAGCGCCCTCAATATCCTCTATTGGTATATACATTCATTAACAACACCGATATCCGATGGCAACTTCAGTTGCACTAGAGTTATACATCCATATGCTCCAGCTGTCATGTCTGACCTGTAATTGACTGAGCATTATATCTTTCATTACTTCACAGATATTTTTTGCCCTCGCTGTTCCACTTGATGATCCTGTGTCTACGAAAGCAATGTCCGTTGCTTTCTTCTTCGAAGCGAATTACGGCCTTGTCAAGTCAACCGAGGATAAAGAATCGCGAGGAATACGTGATGTGCATAAAAATGGAGTAGATGTGGATCGTCGAACTGTTTACAACATGTTGGAGTCGAAATTCCAAGAGTTTGTATTCTTTTCTTATTCAAATTTATGTATATCGTGACGAGGAAGAATTGCGGAAAAAAATGGAAATCGAGGGAACTGAGGAAATAAGTGGGAGGAAGTTCAGGAAGAAATTCTAGGAGTTAAAGCTCTTAATGTGAAAACGTTGCGATGAGGAATAAACATTTTGTTAACTTGTGTTCAGGATTGCGAATTCATATTCCTTATTTGAAATGGCAGAATTGAAACGTCAAATGGCTAATCCTGCAAAATTGAATCAGGCATCCAAACTCCTAATCCTCCATCACTAGGATTAGACGAACCGATTTATAATTCTAAGAGAGAAGAACTAGAGCTTCGACTTTTTGATCCTAAAGACCAAGGATTAGGAATTCAAATCGTGAACAATCAGATTAAGAATTGAAATTCCAAATTCTAAAAAAAATATCTAAAATCCTGAGAATCCCGAAAAATTGAATGAGGTATCCAAAATCCTAATCCTAGAAAAATTAGGATTGGACGTACAGATTCTTAATTCTAAGAAAAAAGAATTAGACATTTGCCATCTGAATCCTAAAGACCGAGGATTAGGAATCCAAATGCTGAAGAATCAGATTAGGAATTGAAATTCCCAACTTAAAAAAAAAACGTGTCGACCATAAATCGAAATTTCGAATCCTAAAAGGCTAGGATTAGGATTAGGAATTCCTGCCACTTCTAAATCTCGTCTACAATCGCGCCGGATTAGATAATATTAACGATTTCCACAATTGTAACTCGACATCGATAACCATCCGTGGATTACACGCCGCCTCCGGGTACAATCCCCCCCGATGCAACTTTCCGGGGCGGCATTTCAACCTGGAAAAAAAAATGAGGTGAAAGGGTGAAAAAAACCTCACGAGTAGAGTACGATGGGATTAGGGATTAGAGGAGGGGATAGAGTCCTCTCAATGCTTTTGGTATATATAAGTGGAACGAAGGAAACTGAACACGATAAGGCAAGGATCGATGTGACTGCGGTTCAATGAATCTCTCTCGCGAAACTGGCAAAGGAGAAACTCTGAGGAGATTGATGCGGTTTCGGGCCGATAGGCATCTAGGAACATTCTACTGTAGACCCGGGGGGGGGGGGGGGGAAA